GTTAGTTAGTTAAAGTAAGGTAGTACGTAGTAGTAGTAGTAGTATAAGTAAGTAGTAGTACGACGTAGACGACGAGAGACGACGTAGTAGTAGTAGTAGTAGAGAGAGAGAGAGAGAGAGAGAGAGAGAGAGAGGCCTTAATCAAGAGAAGAGCTGAAATAGAGAAAGAGAGATGCACACTTGAATTTCGATACCCTATTACCATTGTAACATGCGCACCAAAAAAAGAAAGAATTAACAGTCCAATATTTGAGTGTAATAGATAGGAATGTGCATAATGTCTAAGTGTAATAAGTAGGAAAGTACTTACCCCAAAAAAAATATTCATAATAGTAGGTAGGAAAGAGTGAGAATGTGAAGTTGTATAAAAGTTGTACCCATTACCCCCATATCAACAATTTTACATATAGTGATCAAAGTACTACAAAGTGAGGTACAATTTCCTTCCAATGTCTCGTATTTCTGAATTTTATATCCAGGACCAAGAGTAATATATGAGCTCGCAGAGATGTCAAAAGAATTCAAAACAGCTTCTAATAAATGTTACTGGACTCGCCTAAGTCCACTTGGACTCAGGAGTAACTCTACCTTGCCAATGGGGCGAGGCTGAGTTACCCTAAGTTGTGTTTACAACTTGGGGTACATACACAAATTTAAAGAAAAAATTGTAAAAATATATGGGAATATTGTTGTGAAATTTTTTTCTAGGCAAAGATTGGCAAGGGTTTTTTTTTGTCATAACCCTTATTTTTATATTTTCTGTTTTTTATTTTTTGAAGGTCCGTAACTCAGAATCAATTTTTTTAAATCCAATACATTTTTATGCTTCTTTGGACTTTTTAAGTTTGCTTTTGCTTTTATGTTATTTTTACTATGCTTATTTTAATTTTCTATATTCTTTTTTTTTCTAGGGTTAACTTTTTCTAAGGCTCTGTCCCAGCCTCGGGTGAGAAACTCATCCTCTCCAAATCACTAGCCTTAGCCAAGGGCCGAGTACCATGGCAGATGCGATTCTTGTAACATTGCTTTTAATGCACTAAATTTCATTATGTTTCATATGGCAACCATAACGCAAGCTCCATGAACTATAATCTCCTAATCATGTACGTAAAAAAGCATGAAGCTTTATGATGAGAAAGAATAAAAGAAACTGAAACGAACATCAGAGGAGAAGCTATGAAGAAAAGAAAGAGAAAAGAAAAAAACTCACATCAAACCATTCCTTGGAAGTTTATACAATAAAAATAACAGATCAAAATGGAAAAAAAAATATCATTTCTTGCACCTATGTAGGCCTAGTAATTATAAAAAAAAAGCACATCATATTCATGAGCACAACTCATGAAGGCATAACCCATAAGAAAATCCACAATAGAGGTATCATTTTCTTTTTCAAAAAAAAAAAAAAACTTTTCAGGATTCAGGGCTTTTACCGATACTGTGTGAAAAAAACCTCAAATATCAAACCCAGGAGAGGGCTCCTTCTTCAACCATGGAACTGGAACACAAGATCAAGCGCTTGCAGGTAGTCTCTACGATCTGGCAAAGTGCTCCGAACAAGCTCACATGGAGAGCGGTCATTAATATCTCCAGGAGAGTGAGGGCGCTTTCTTCTCTTGCTTTGTAACCCGAACTCACTGAGCCCTTTTCTTAACCCATGGACTCCACTATCCTCAACCTCCCCCATCTGCAAATCTTTGGAACCAGAAACTAGGGTTTCAGAATCATCCTTACAACCAAGACAACCATTCAGGTTTTTCTTGTGATCACGAAATGATTCAGAGTGCGGGGTTTCATAGAACTGATGTGATTCATGAGTGCATTCATGAATTTGAGGTGATATATTCCTCTGTTGTCTTTCTAATTTTTGTTGCATACCAATTAATTTGAACTTTTTGTCCTTGTGAGATATGATTCTTTTATGGTGGGTCATATGAATTGTTCGGATTTTTAAGTGGTTGAATGAATTGGAATGGGGTGAATATGTTGATGCTATGATTAATAGCTGTTTATTTTGTAGGTTAGTTGATTTGGATTGTTAGTGTGCCCTTTATTCCCATGTTTTTCTATTATTGTTGCAGCTGAATCAATTTGAGTTTTTCACTCGGAGGTTGGGCCTTCTTGTATCAGGCTACAATTTTCTTGTAACTGTTGTAGCTAAACCAATGCGAGTTTTACGGTGATACAATTTTTCTGTAACTATTGTAGCTTAACCAATGCGAGTTTTACTATGATTGGTCAGTGGCCACCATTAAAATTTATTCTTCTTGGATAAGAAATGTTTGAATTCCCTAAAAAGTATGTGGGCCATATGTCTTTCAAATGTTAGAATACTCGATGCTTTTTTTTTAGATTTCATTTAGCAAGAAAAAGAGAGTGATGTGTTGTTGGGATGATGTTCTTTTTTTCACTTGCAAAATTTCTATGGTTTCTTCCTATAATTGGGTGCTCTTCCTCTTTCTCAATTTCTTCTTCTTTTTTTGGTATGGTGGATTGCATAGTCCTCCCTCTCTTTCTATTGTGCTGAATTGGAAGCACTTTAATGAAGCAGTTCACCGCGTCATTGGTCATTGAAGATGCCGTGGCATACAACAACTAATGCTTTAGCGGGGATAAGTGGACTTCAAATTGCTGGTAATGCATTCCCAGGATGGGAGATTCAAGCATGTCGATTCTCGATAGAGCCTGATTGTAATTTTGTACAAAAAATATGAAATATTTGTATCTTGTTTTCTATATTTGTTATTGCTAGTGTAGGCAAGTTGATTGAGTTCTAAGTGGATTTTTCTCCTTGTTATTGCTAATTCAAATGGTTTTTTTGTCGATATTCCCTATACTATGGGCGATGCGTTGGATTGATATTTGGATGGCTCTTTCTCTCTCTCCATGTTCTTGGTATACGACTCACATATATGATACAACCATTTCTTCAAGGATGCACTTTATTTGTTCTATTAACAAGCTTCCAAAGGAGCACCAGATTTTTGCAATTGAAATATTATTTTTCCCTTATTTTGTCTGAGTATACGGGAATGGAAGCACCACATGCCTATTCTTCAGCACTAACAAGAAGCTTCATAAGGAAGACGAGAAAATAAATACCTCTCTTTCTTTCATTAGATTGAAACAAAGAAGCTTTGCTAGCAAGTCTCAATAGTGGAAATTAAAGATGAGTTATGGGTTTTAGAAGGTCTATACAAAGAACAAAAGGTTCGTGCAAGTTAGAAAATATTTAAAAGACATTTACAATACAGAGACCTTTGGTTGAAACCCCCACCATCTCTCTCGTGCAAGTTAGAAAATATTTAAAAAACGTTCACAACATATAGCGACTTTTGGTTGAAAACCCCCTCTATCTATCTATCTCTCTTTCTCTCTCTCTTTCTCTCTCACACACACATGCACGCACACAGATTTAGAACTTCTAGAGGTAAGATTGTCTCTCTTTCCCACTCTTGAGGGTTAGGAACTTCTAGACCTAAGATTCTCTCTCTCTCTCTCCTTGCTAATTAGCACCGCAAATTTGAACAAAACAAATCCCCATCATCCAACCACTTGAAGACTACCAAGATGGCTAAGATTTTGTTGGCATAATTTGCCTTGCTATATTTATATTGTCATTTCAATTCATTTACTCAATCAAACATTAAACCTTGCTAAAATATATACACGACCAAAGAAAATAAGCAATTATAACAATTGTTCGAGCATATCAACATCACAACAATGAGAACAACTCAAATTCAATGAACGTAAAAATCCTGGAACTAATACGTGCATCAATCAAAATGACAATACATTCTTTAACAAACTGAAATCATATACATAACTATCAATTGATAGCATAGTCTTTAACAAGCGCTTGTCATCATGAAAAGGTTATTACATTCCCATATTAATAAAGTGGAGACCCTCAAATTAGTTGCTAAACTTTTTGACAAAGAATATCAAACAATGGCGATGCTGCAACATTTAAGGTCAATCTCTGCCGCTCCAAAGTCATGTTGTCTTAGTTGTTATACTTTCTATAGGCCAATCTATGCCACTTAACATTTAAGCCCAATCTCCTTCTCAAAATGCAAGCAATAACTCTTGAACACCTTAGATCTCACCGTGACGCCATAATCCAACAAGACCAAATGTTGTAATAACCAAGTGTAGTATGTCTGACCTGCAACTCATCCAAGACTTGTATTAATTAACATATATTCCATTTAACGGCACAAACTCTCATGCTATTAATCAAAATAAGATACATTGCATATAGCTCATTTGATATACACATTATGAACAACATACAAGCATTGAAATCAACATATGCACATTGTTAAAAGTGTGTACACTCTGCTAGCAGTATATAAACACTGTTAATAGTGTATTCACTGATGCCACAAAAATATGAAGAGCTAATTGCATGGAAATTTGTTGCATAATGAATTGACTGAACCTAGCACAAGTCAGTAGCAAATATTGTGATGAAGTCTTCTCAAACTAGGGGCTGCATTAACTATTGACAATAGAAGCCAAGTACAAAACATCAACAGTCTGCCAACGACCAAAACTATGTTGAATTTGAAAAAGATTCTAACTCCCACACAACTTTATTCAATTTACATACTTGATCTATTTCAATATGGGAGTTTGTACAAGGTATAGATAAAAAGGGCAGAAATTTTGGAACAGTTACACAACAAGAAATCAAACATGAGATAACATTGTCTTCCACCATTAGGTTGCATATAGCTCATATGACACTGCATGAACCTAAACTCCTCAGCCTTTGTCCATACTGCATGAACCTAAACTAGTCAACTTTTGTCCAAACTACATGACCCCAAACGGGTTAGCCTCGGTACGTACTGCATGACCCTAAAGGATTAAGGCTCGATACATACTGCATGACCCAAAACTGCTCAACCTCGTTTCATACTGCATGACCTTAAACTGCTTAGTCTCGTTCCATACTGCATGACCCTAACTTGCTCTGCCTCGATCCATACTAGACGACCCTAAAGTACTCAACCTTGTTCCATACTGCATGAACCTTAACTTCTCAGCCTCGATCCATACTGCACGACCCTAAACTGCTCAGCCTCGGTCCATACTGTCTCACCCTAAACTGGTCAGCCTCGATCCATACTTCATGACCCTATATTGCTCATCCACGGTCCATATTGCATTACCCTAAACTTCTCAGCCTTGGACCATACAACATGACCCTAAATTTCTCAGCCTCGGACCATACAGCACGACCCTAAACTGCTCTGCCTCGTTTCATACTACATGACTCTATACTGCTCAGCCTCGGTCCATACCGTATGACCCTAAACTTCTCAGCCTTAGTCCTTACTGCATGGCCCTAAACTGCTCAGCCTTGCTCCATACTACATGAACCTAAACTGCTCAACCTCGATCCATACTGCATGACCCAAAACTTCTCAGCCACGGTCCATACTGCATGACTCTAAACTGCTCTGACACGGTCGATAGTGCAAAACCCTAAATTGCTCAGCCTCGGTCCATACTGCATGACCCTAAACATCTCAACCTCAGTCCATACTGCATTACCCAAATCTGCTCAGCCTCGGTCCATACTGCTTGACCCTAAAAAACTAAGCCTCAATCCAGACGACATGACCCTAAACAACTCAGTCTAGGTCCATATTACTTGACCCTAAACGAGTCTACGTCGGTACCGACTGCATGAGCTTAAATAGCTCAGCCTCGGTCCATGCTGTTTGACCCTAAACTGCTCAACCTCCTTCCGTACTTCACGATCCTAAACTGCTCAACCTCTATCCATCTTACGTGACCCTAACCTTCTCAGCCTCTGTCCATACTGCATGACCCTAAACAACTTACCCTCAGTCCATACTGTATGACCCTAAACAACTCAGCCTCAGTCCATACTGCATGACTCCAAACTGGTTAGGCTCCGTACGGACTGCATGATCCTAAACTGCTCAGCCTCTGTACATAATGCATAACCCTAAACTGCTGAGCCTCGTTTCATACTACATGACTCTTAACTGCTCAACCTCTGTCCATACTTCATGAACTTAAATTTCTCATCCTCGGTCCATACTACATGTAAACATCTCAGCCTCAAACCATATAGCATGACCGTAAACTGCTCAACCTCATTCCATACTGCTTGACCCTAAACTGCTTAACCTCAGTCCAAACTGCATAACCGTAATTTGCTCAGCCGCAGTCCATACTGCATAACCCTAAACTGGTCAGCCTTGGTCCATACTTCATGACACTAAACTTCTCTGCCTCGGACCATACAGAATGACCCCAAACTTCTCTGCCTCTGACCATACAACATGGCCTGCTCAACCTCGATCCATAATGCATGACCCAAAACTGCTCAGTCTCGGTCCTTACTGTATGACCTTCAACAGTCAACCTCGGTCCATACTGTATGACCCGAAACTGCTCATTCTCGGTCCATACTGTATGACCCTAAACAGTCAACCTCGGTCCATAGTTCATGAACCTAAATTTCTCAGCCTAGGTCCATACTGTATGACTCTAAACTTCTCCGCCTCGATCCATACTGCATGATCCTAAACTACTCAGCCTCGCTCCATACTGCATGACCCTAAACTCCTCAGCTTCAGTCTCTCTGCGTTTCCCTAAACTGTTAAGCTTCGGTCCATACTGCTTGAACCTAAATTGCTCAGCCATGGTGCATACTGCATGAAGCTAAACTGCTCAGCCATGGTGCATACTTGCAAGATCTTAAACTGCTCAGCGACGGTCCAAACTGCATGACCCTAAACAGCTCAGCCTGGGTTCATAATGCATGACCAGAAATTTGTCAC